ACCCAGTCCTCAAGGTAGCCGATCCGTTTTTGCCTTTGGTGTCACTACTAATGCTAGTCAATATGGTATGGTGTTGTCCTACAACAAGATGGTGACAATGGATATAGACCCGTAGAGTTCATGTCTGCTAGGATGCCTTCAAAGAAGGTAGCGACATCAACCTACGAGAGGGAACTCTATGCTCTCAGACAAGCGCTAAACCACTTGAAACATTACTTGCTTGGGAGACACTTTAAAGTCTATTCAGACCACGAAACGTTGAGGTGGTTGAAGACACAGGCCAAGATGACACCTAAGCTTACTAGGTGGGCCGCAAAGATAGATCAGGTTGACTTTGAGCTCAAGCCTGTCAAAGGAAAGTACAATGAAGTTGAACGCTCTAAGTAGGAGAGCTGATTACTTTGGAGCGATAGTACACTACCTGGATATAGGAAGAGACCTGCAACAAAAAGTCAAAGAAGCGTATGCGCAGGACCCTATCTATAGCGACCTCCTCAAGAGAGTTAAGGAGTCCCCAGAGTCTGGACCAGATTCCCGCACTACAGATGGGTTGTTATTTGAGAGGACCAACACAGTCGATCGATTGTGCGTTCCCAACAGTGAGGAGATCCATAGTCTGATCTTAGGGGAATGCCACGACACAGAGGGATATTTAGGTTGGCAAAAGACATTAGCCAACCTCGTTCGCACGTATACTTGGCCTGGTATGAAGGCTGACTGTATAGAGTATGTATGCAATTGTGAAGTACGCCAAAGGAATAAGACCACTACACGAGCTCCTCTTGGTCTTCTCAGACCTTGCCTATTCTCGCAGGACCCAAAGATTTTGTGTCCATCGATTTTATGGACGCTGGGTAGGTATGGCAAGAGCCAAGTCATGGTCATAGTTGATAGGTTTAGTAAGTACGCCGTTTTTGTTCCTTTGCCTTCAGAGGCACGCACAGATCTAGTAATAAAGAAGTTCTTTGATCATTGGGTCAGTGAGCATGGTCTACAGCTGTCCATAGTCAATGACAGAAATACCAGGTTCACTAGTAAGGAGCTGATGAGAGTCTATGGCTTTGAGTTGCTAATGTCATCCAGAGACCAACGGTCAGACTGAACAGATGAACAAGATCCTGCAACGAGTTCTCAAAATGTACGTTAGACTTGATCAAGTCAATTGGGATGAGATGCTCCCAAAAGTAGCCACTGCATACAACAACAGCGTGCATTTAGCAACCTGTTGAACTCCCAAGAAACTGCATAAGTCCTTTAGACCGCGTAGACCGTTTGAGAGACTAAACGGGGATCAGATCCAGAGGCTACCGCCCGGTACTAGGGAGTTTGCACTACAGCACGAGAAAGAGATTGCTACCGTAATAGAGAACCTTAGGAAGGCCCGGCATAAGATAATAGAGCTAGCCAACAAACACCGTCGCCCGTCGCAGTTCCAAGTAGGCGACCTAGTCTGGGTCAAGTCCAAAGAGTTTGCTTGTGAGGAGAACATCTCACAGAAACTGTTACCTGCTTATAGAGGACCGTGGCCAGTCTTAGAAGTCAAGGCCGGAGAGGATGGACCGTCCTACACAATAGAGATTCCAGCACACCTTCACACCTACCCAGTTTTTCATGCGTCAAAGATGTTACCTTGTACTACAAGTCAACAGTTCCCATCGATGAGATCGACGATCCCTCCGGATATGGATGGAAAGTACGACATTGATCGCATAGTAGGTGAGGATGTATTCAGAACAGGAGGTAGAGGTCGTCCACAAAAACAATACAAAGTCAGGTTTTCATATCAAGAACCAGAATACGACCGCTGCTTTACCCGAACAGAGCTTCTAGAGACGACTCCCGATATCGTCCGAGCCTATGAGAGAGATAAGAAAGGTAAAGGTCCTGCCTTGGACTGAAGTATTCTCGAAGGACCTCAAATTTTGGCCGGAGGGAGTGAAAAGGCTTTCACCTTTGCAGTAGCAGATATAGATCCCAGGGCTCGATCCCTAGACCTTGTCCTCACCCGACAACTACCAGAGTGGCCCGTGACCTGTGTCTTGGTAGTTGACTGTTGTCTGTCGTAGGTCTGTGTAGTTGTCGGGTTCTGAACCGTAGGTCTGTCAAGTAGGGGTCAAAGCTGTGTAGAAGTAGCTGCTACAGTCCTGAAAGGTCAAGGTCGTAGCTGCTACAGTCCCAACAGGCCAAGTCTATAGACTTAAGGTCCGGAAGTGGCCTTTCGAAAGTGGCCAGAGGCAAGTGGGCAAGTGGACAGTCCAACCTCGTCTAGTCAGCGGTACCCATTCCCAGTCGCACTTTGTCCAGTCAGCAAGTACCATGTGGGACTGTGTGCACCCTAGGCCTGGTGGAAAGGAGCAGACCAGCGACCAACAGAAGTATAAATCAAGAGGCAGCTTCCAGTTATTCAATCATTATGAATGTGAGCCATGCGGAAGCGCTGCCTGAGCATCTTGTGCAAGGAGGTCTGCAGGTGCCCGAAGGAGAAGTGGGCTATGAGGGAGACGAAGCGGCCATAGCCGCTCGTAGTAAGTAGAAGGCAGCCAGAGCTTCCATAGGTTAAAGGTAGGCTGTCGCATGTGTACGAGTGTGTTCCGTGAAGGGTGTGCATGTGTGTGGGACATCCAGGGAGATCCAGAGTGACGTGCGTGTGAACAGTAGCCTGAGGATACAGTATCGGCTGTGAAGAGTGTAGGCGCACAGGCGCCATAGCCATCTGCAGCCAGTTTGAATCTGAACTGTGTTCTTGGCCTCGATATCGTTGAGCTTTGTGTGTGTGTGGGACATCCAGGGAGATCCAGAGTGGCGTGCGAGTGAACAGTAGCCTGAGGATACAGTATCAGCTGTGAAGAGTGTAGGCGCACAGGCGCCATAGCCATCTGCAGCCAGTTTGAATCTGAACTGTGTTATTGGCCTCAATATCTTTGAGCTTTGCATGGGCGCTTGGCGAATACCCTTACAAGGGTATCCGCCCTGGTTTTTGCATGCAACAAAAAATAAGTTTGGGTTGGAATTTAAGTGTTCCGCGTGAGGCGCGGCTGCGCCTGTGGTTTATGTTGACTGGGTGGTTGACTACACTGGAGAGTGCATGGGCGCGCAGGTTTAAGGCGCTCATGATTCTTTTCTGTTGTTGATCGTAAAGTCGGCGCGGACGCCGGTAGTTTTGTGTTATTATAAATGTTTTGTTTTACTTTTGGTGGATTGCCATCTGTTTACCATGCATGCCGAGTAAAGAAGAAACGAGTCTGGTTGCATGGTCCATCGGACCACATTGATAAAAAAAAAATAAAAAAGAAGAAGAAGAGACTGACCTTGAAGAAGGTTACTGCTTTATCCATCTGAGATAAGAACGGAGAGGTGGTGCAGGAAGAACAAGTCTAGAGGGGTGCGGTGGGGGTGGGAGGGCGCACAACAGGACGTGGGATTGATGCGGATGTAGGAGGCCTACGCGGAGGAAATGGATGGGGCAAGGCCTGAGTAGTACTTTTTTTCTCCTGGAAAGAGAAGCTCCTCCCCCAGGACAAGGCCTGAGCATTACCCCCAAGTTTCGCTTTCAACTGATCCAGGGAAAAAAAAAAAAAAAGTCAAAAAAACTTAGAACTACCTTCACCGTCCTAAGCGAGAACAAAATGAATTTGACCACAATTACAGTGCGTCCTGGAAATTTCCGAAGAAACAAAAAAAGAAAACGAAAAAAAAAAAGAAACAGAACACAACAGAACGGTTACGTCCAAGATGAATCTGACCGCAATTGCGTGTCGACAAGATCGGACTGCCACGTGGCAGAGCAAGAGAGCCACCGCAATTGCCTGTCCACAAGATCGGACTGCCACGTGGCAGAGCAAGAGAGCCAACTTCCACGTGGCAGAGAAACATTGGGAACAGGGCCTACCACGTGGCAGTCCCTTACAAACTCTGCTCACAACTTTTCATTTCTCGAGTTATGCGTGCTATCCTTGCGCAGGGGCCAGGCTCGACTCAATTGGTTTTTGATAATGAAATGATTGGTTGGTTTACAGAAAAAAAAATAAATCTGTGTCGTTACAATTTTGACGAATGTCCCGAAGGACCTCATAAATTTTGTGCGACCCCTCAAGTCAACAAGGGCAGAGCAAAGTTGAACATCGCACAGGGCCCTCCACGTGGCAGTACCTTACAGACTTCTGCTCACAACTTTCATGCCACCCTTCGAGTGGGACGAGAGCAAAAAAAAAAAAAAAAGTGGCAGAGCAAGACCTGATCCCGACTTCCATGCGGCATAGCAAGATCGGACTTCCACGTGGCAGAGCAACAATGCCCACCACGTGGTATTCCCTTCAATTTGGCAGAGCAAGACCTGATGCCGACTTCACGTGACATAGCAAGATCGGACCTCCACGTGACATAGCAAGATCGAGCTTCCACGTGGCAGAGCAACATCGGACATGGCCCACCACGTGCCATTCCCTTACAGACTCCACTCACAACACCTGGCAGAGCAGCATCGGACAAGGCCCACCATGTGTGTGGTCGGCATTCCCTTACAGACTCTACTCACAACACGTGACAGAGCAGCAGCATCGGACAAGACCCACCACGTGGCATTCCCTTACAAACTCTACTCAGAGCTTTCATGCCACATGTCCACAAGATCAGACCAATGCTGAAATTCCACGTGGCAGAGCAAGACTTGACTTCCACGTGGCAGAGCAAGACTCGACTTCCACGTGGCAGAGCGACATCGGAAAGGGCCAATCGCGTGGCAGTCCCTTACAGACTCTGCTCACAACTTTCATGCGACCTTTAAAGTGGACAAGAGCAGAGCAAACGTGAACTTCCACGTGGCAGACGAAAACCCAACTTCTACGTGGCAGAGGAAACCCCGACTTGCACGTGGCAGAGGAAACCCCGACTTGCACGTGGCAGAGGAACCCCCGACTTCCACGTGGCAGAGCAACATCGGACTTTCATGTGGCAGAGTAAGATCGAGCAGGGCCCACGACGTAGCCGTCCCCTATAGACTCCGCTCAAAAAACATTCACGGAAAGACCCGACTTCCATGCTAGAGACTGCTCACTATTTCCATGCGAAGACCCGACTTCCACGTGGCAGAGCAAGCTAGGACTTCCACGTGGCAGAGGATTCCACATGGAAGAGCAATATCGGACAGGGCCCACCACGTGGCAGTCATTTACAAACTCCGCTCACAATTTTCATGCGACCCTTCAAGTGGACACGGGCAGAGCCAAAATTGAGCTTCCACGTGGCAGAGGAAGAAGACGACGACTTCCACGTGGGAGAGCAAGATCGGACTTCACCACGTGGGAGAGCAAGATCGGACTTCACCACGTGGGAGAACAAGATCGGACTTCCTCGTCGCAGAACTAGAGCAGAGCAGACTCCCACGTGGCAGAGAAAAACCAGACTGCCAGTCGAAGAGAACAGGGCAAAGCAAAACGGACCTGCCACGTGGCAGTACCTCACAGATCGACACAACTTCCATGTGACGTGTCAGAGCGTACGAACCAAGCGATTGAGCATCGAGGTGAGAGTCCGATCAGAAAAGACAACGTGGCAGAGAGCGGTGTTGGATTTCCACCACATGGCAGAGCAATAATGGACCGCCACGTGGCACTTGGTGCGCATTGCGTTTCGTCTTCAGAGAGGAAAACGGTAGGGAGAGGTGTGGAATGATGAGGGGGGATTGCAAGAGCGAGTACCCGCGGTTGGCCGGGCTGTTGGCGTGGCGTTCCTTGTCTTCTGTCTTCTTAGCGCGTCGGCAGGGGTAGAGGGAGTTCCACATGGGAATCATGGGTTGGGAAGGAGGCCGAGGTCACGCAACGATCTAAGCTCAATGTCACAAAACCTCTCTCTCTCTCTCTCTCTCTCTCTCTCTCTCTCTCTCTCTCTCTCTCTCTCTCTCTCTCTGTGTGAGCTAAGCCCTCCAGAGAGGGACTTGGTGGGAACGTCGACTTCACTGTTTAGCCGCCGTATCACAGATTACCGAAAAAATAAGTCAAAAAATTCCTTTTCTATTATTTTCTATTATTTTTTTATTTAAAAATAAGTCAAATTCTCAAATTGCGAAGACAAAGAAAATTGAGTCATTTCCAAAAACCAAAGAGAAGAAGGACGCTGACGGGCCGTAGAGGAACGGCGGCGGGGAGTTAAAGAGGTTGTGGGAAATGGCAGGAATGGCGGGAAAGACGGAGTGGGAGGAATGGCGGGAAAGACGTAGCGGGAGGAATGGCGGGAAAGACGGAGTGGGAGGAAAGGCGGGAAAGACGGAGCTGGACATGGAAGGGGACGAGGACGTGATGCAATTTTGATGGTTGACGTAAGGAGACGACGGCAGCGTGAACTTATCTAGCGGACTCTATTTTCTTTTAATTTTTTCCTCCAAATTCATTTTCCCCTGATGAAAAGACTTTTACGAAATCTCAAAAAAATTAACCTTAAAAAAACGATTCATTCTTGCGTGTAAGCTGTTGCTGCTCATAGTACACACCCCAGAAAACCATCTCCTTCCTTCTCTCTTTTTCCCAAAGTACTTTTCTTAGGAAGACATCTCCTCCTCGCCCCATCCCACTGAACCGTTCAGATCATATCCACTGGCGAGTCCCTGCCTCCTCTACCTCCATTTGTTTCCTCTCTCTCTCTCTCTCTCTCTGTGTGTGTGTGTGTGTGTGTGTGTGTGTGTGTGTGTCTTGAGATCTCTACTCCACTGACAGCCTCAACCCTGAGAGGCCTTCTGGTGCACGTAGGTGAGCCCGCACTTGCCGCAGGAGTGTCGATCGATGTGATTGGCCATGAAATCTCTCTCTCTCTCTCTCTCTCTCTCTCTCTCTCTCTCTCTCTCTCTCTCTCTCTCTCTCTCTCTCTCTCTCTCTCTCTCTCTTTTGATCTTGATCTTCACTCCCCTGACAGCATAAATCCTGAGCGGCCTTCTGGTGCACGTAGGTGAGCCCGCACTTGCCGCAGGAGTGTCGATCGAAATGATTGGCCATGAAATCTCTCTCTTCTCTCTCTCTCTCTCACTTGCCGCAGTAGTGTCGATCGAAATGATCGGCCATGAAATCTCTCTCTCTCTCTCTCTCTCTCTCTCTCTCTCTCTCTCTCTCTCTCTCTCTCTCTCTCCAAAAGCCAAAAAGCCTACCGGACGTAAATACGTTTTTCCCCATCCCATGCTCTGTTGGCCAG